CTTAATGTTTTGCTGGTGACAAAGTTTTCTGTGGCAGCAATTCTAAATATTTTTTGTTTTGTTCCTTTGGCGGAAACACCTGTAGATTACCCATTATTTATGTTTTGGTGTCAAAAATTTCTCTTACTGATTTGTAGGCAGTTAGGGTGGTTATCACCCGTATTAATTTGTTGGCTTTTTATGCCCTTACATGTACCTCCAAGCTGGGACAAAGAAGATGAGCGAGTGAGGGTCATTTGTTATTGGCAAGAGGCACCGTGAGAACAACTGGCTTGCCCAAGAACACAACACAATGACCCTGCCTAAGGCCTTAACCCGGACTGTTCACCCAGAGTTTAAAAGGCTGAGCATTAGCCTGCAGCTGTCTTTTGACGAGCTCAAATTTACTATCAACAAACATGTCATTCCAGAACAAGAATCAAGGGACTACATGTACAAACCTTCAATGGGATAGAAATGACAGGATCCCTCTGTCCTTCAAACTGGCCAAGCTCTATGATAGAATCCCAGTCCTCTTTTTGTCAAGTCATACTCCTCAATCAATTTCATAGCTCTGAACATCCCAGAACTGATCTCGTGTGATTCCTGCCAGGATAAAATATTTCAAAGACCTGTCAACAAAGTGGTTACCCAGAAGCTGATCAATACAAGTACAATGTTGTCTCAAGTACAGTCAGCTACTTGCAGTTCAAAGGGGCTACACTGTAATACTGAGCATGTGTAACTGACTAAATATAATTTTAAGATAAATATGAGTTGGAGAACAAAATACTTCAGACTGAGAAAGTACAGTGTAAGCATTGCAACTTCACGTTAAAGTGCAAAAAAAAAAAAAAAGGATTTCAAGGGACAAATTCATTGGAAAACAACCTCCACCTACATGTATGCACTTATTAATAAGAGAGAAATGGTGCTGCTTCCCTCCCAATCACCACCACCATACAGGTGTAGGTGGGACACATGTACATGTATTTCAACTCAAATGTTTTGCGCAAATGCCACACTCTCAAGTTCGTGACGACTAAAACAGTCACTGGAAGTCACTGAAAGTTTCTTTTTTAGAAAGTCCATTATAATGGCTGAAAGTTGCCGTCATGGGTAAAGGATTGTTATAAAATCCTTCATCTTCCTTGTTCCCTCTGCTTTAACAGTGACAGTTGCAGAAATTAATTGCATTCCTTTATTGAACATTGCATTGGCACAAGAATCAAACTATGATTTATAACCTTTTTTTTTAATAATAAAGTGTATTATCGTTTGTCTCACGATGTAGTCACTTGAGATGTAGATCGCGACGTGTCGACTGCTTACTGCTAGTCTTCTTCAGGCGATAAGGTCGACTGATTGCACGGTATCATTTATATCACAAAGGTCGGCTG